TTTATGGTCATTTCAGCTGTTATGCTTCTTTATCTATTTTCTGCTAGTTTAAGCTTTTTCTGCTATTTCAGCTACTATTTATCTGTTTTTATGCTAATTTTAACCTTTTCAGCAAATTCCACATTTTTTTTACCTCGTTCCAGCTCTTTCCACTTCCTTCTAGTAGTTTAAGCTTCTTTCTGCCTTTTCAGCTATTTTTCAGCTTTTTTTTTTTGCTATTTCAACTGTTTTTAGTAAATTTCCTAATTTTAGTGCTCATTTCTGCTAATTTATACCCAATTTAGCTAAAATCTGTTCTTTCTGCTTTCTTCTGCTAATTAAGGCTTGTTCTTCCGTTCTACTAGAATTCAACATGTTTTTTAGCTAATTTCAGCTGTTTTTCAGCAAGTTCTTCAGCACTACATTTTCGCAGGAAATGCATATTCTCTAGTTTTTATTGCCGTTTTTCTTTAAAATGCGGAAATTATTTCAAAGGTCAGAGATAACAAACTTTATTATTTTTATGTTAAAACGTTTTTCAACAACTGTTCTTCCTCAGATCCTTATTTAGTCTCTGTTTGTATGCAACATTATCTTTAAAATATATATATATATATATTTCAAATGATGAAAAACATTGCACAATGTTGAAAGCTTTGCAGATGTTGGCAGCTTGTTCTGGCCAAGATTGATTTTGTTTAGTCACTCATCAGGACTCAACTTTTGCCACTCACATGATTCTTGCTTCTTTCACGTCTGCACACATTCATTTTCTCTCTCAGTGCAAAAAATTTAAAATAAATAGAATTTCACAGCTGATGACGTTCAAGAGGAATAACAGGAAACTGATGCAAACAAACAAACAAGACGAAGCAGCTCTGTGCAGCAGCAACAAGATTCCCAGACCAGTTAGGAAGAAGAAATAGATGCTCGTATGGTAAACGGTCACTTTTTTATAACCTGGCAGCAAAGACTTTGAAGCTTTATTGAAATATGACCAGGAGTCGGCTATAGTAGAATCGTTTAAACTGAAAATCCATGTTTTAATTACAGCTTTGTGTGCACATAGTGTGCTGCAATTACAGTTCCTTTCACAGAAACCATCTCAGTCTGACTCTTACAGCTGCCGTCTCCATGCATCTTTTAAAGTCTAATAGTTCCAGTTTATTTTCACTCAAAAACAATTTTAGCTGCTTGTGAAGCAGAATCAATAAACAATTTCGTTCCCACCTCCTTCTGTTCTGCAAACGCTTTTATTTTCCAGATAGCAAGAAATCGTTTTAAAGGTTTGAGTTTGCAAAACAGTAAAAATTTAACGAAACTGAAGGAACTTTTTACAACTGCAAACAGTTAGTTGTAAATGTAAAACAAGATCAGGATGAAATCACATGCAGAAAAAAGTTGTTCTTATCCGACTGGTCTCCACAGACACTGAGCTCCTCCTCTTTTGCACGAGTTTCCAGAGAGACTTTATTTTTACAGCAGGACTGTAAACATTTTTAGTTTAGGACTTGAACCAAATTTGTTCAAACTGCCTTTTTAAATTGTATTTCTCGTCAGGTTATTGAAAACACAGTTCCTCTGTGAAGAAAGTGCTTTGTGTTGTCATACAATGACATTTGTTCTCTGCATTCGAGCACCCATGTGGATCAGCAGGCTTTAGGCACCCAGGGAGCAGATGGGGAACAGGTGTCTTGCTCCAGTCAGTGGTCTGGCCTAAAAATGCACCACAGAACGTTAAGGATCACTGACGGCTCAGAGAAGCTTTCATGCAGAAGATTGTTGATCTTTGGTCAATGTGCATGTGACTTCATTTGTTAGCATCATCTGGTGTCTTCTGATTGGTCAAAACAAGAAAATGATTTCAAATATTTATTTTAGTTGCTCAAAACATTTGGTTTAATTGGTCGTTTGACTACAACACCATGAAACATCTTTTCCATAAGCTTCACCTCATGAAGCTAGAAAACATGTTGTGAATTTGGGTTCTTGATGTGAAGCAAATGGTGAAACTGCACCTTTCAATGTAATTTTAGGTTAAAGGTAATATCACTGAAGTGTTTCAACCAAATCTGAGCTGCAAAAGTTGGTCTCATTGTGAATTTTAAAGTTTATGTGTTCAAATGCCTTTCTTCAGAAAGAAACAAACGCATTTTTAATATGGTGCTCATCATCACATGTAATTTTCCTGCACCGAACTCTGTTTAGCTTTACCTGCCCTGCTGTAGAAGAATAAAGTTTTAAAACTCCCTGATCTGGTATGAAAAGCTGTTTTTCTTCAAAGCATTGAAGCCAAAACAAAGACTACCATAACTTGCTTAAAAAAAATTCCTTTTTAAGCATTTTATGGTAATTTTTATAATTTACTGAAAACATACTTCTTGGTTGTTTAAGATGGTATTTGTTGCTCGTGTGTGAAACTCCCTATGCAGGAAAAAGGAGATTTATGAATAAAAGATAAAGATTGTACAATAAACTTACCAATGCTGACACTTTTGTTTGAGCTGTGATTATGTTGTTGCCTTAAGTGATGGATAAAATACACAAAACTTTCTATTTACTAATCTCTGTAGATGGAAAGTAAAATTCATTCCTAAATCTTCTGTCTAAATGTGATTATTAGATGTTCTACAAGCTACAACTACCAACTATTTTCTGTTTTTTCACTCATGTTGTCTTTATGTTTCCTTTTAAAGTTGGTGTCATATTTGTGCAGAATATATACTTGTACTTTGAAAACAATACAGCACATTCTGCCTCCCCGTTGTGTTTTTATTAATAGGTATAAAGCTCCAAAAGATGCCTGCGAACAAGGCCAGCTGAGTGTGTGTGTTCGTGTGTTTCTGTTCATGTGTGTTTGATCGCTCAGGGTGTTTGACTGGACAGCTTCCAAAACGTAGAATAAAACTCCCACACAGGAAGAAAAACTCACTTTGTCAAAACAAGTATGAATTTATTCTTTCAAGAACATATTCTTCTTTGTGTACAGTAAAAATAAATAACAAATAAGCCAAACTATGATATATAATATTTACTATTTCTCTCTCAGATACAAAATATTGGACATGCAGATTGACAAACTGGACTTGTAAACTGGGGGGGAAATGGTATAACTGGCACTTTGGTCGTCTGAAAGTGACCTCAACGTCACCGAAGAGCACCCGGGCTCAGTTTGACCTCCTCCAGGAGACTTGGTAAGAGACTAGACAACAAGATGGCACTGAATACTTCCCACAATCATGAAACCTGAAAAAAGAGTGTTCCTCTGAATCTGAAAATAGAAATGAACAGAGGCTAACTGGCTCTCTGATTGTATCTGCAAGCATATTTCTGGAGATCACTAAGATTCCCTCCCACTCCTTCGCTCCCACAACATCTCAGCCTTCAACTAATCACCTTCCATTAAAGAATCCTTTGAGACGTGAAGAGGGTTTTAGAAAAACGGTAAACCTTTAGGTGGTCAGAGGAGAAAACAGAGTTCTACCTTGGCAGCGGATGTCTATTTTGGGAGTTTTTGCTCCTCCTAAATCAAACTTTTTGCGTCCTGAGCGTTACCAACTCCCCGTCGAACTGACTTCACCTTCTCCTTGTTGGTCTTAATCTAACTCCCGAACTCACTGCTCTCTTAGTTTATTCACAAGACATCCAATTTGCACTTCGCCCGTCCATTTGGCGCTGCTCGTCGGTGAGTCAGAGAAGTGATAAACTCGGTGACGTATTTGCCTTTTGCAGTGTTGCCAGCTTGTGAATCCATTCATCGCCTTGTGTACACACACACAGATGCCCGTCAGAACCAGAGCCACTCGGCGTGACCGTGTGATCAGTTCTTTAAGTCCTCTGACTTTTTTTTTTTTTAGTCACAGTTTTGTCACCAAGCAGCAATCTGTTACTTTTTTGGTGCAATTTTGTAATCATTTGATTACTTCTTGATGTCATAATTTGCCTTCAAAACACCCAAAACAATCTTTCCAGTTTAAAACAAATTCGTTAAACGTTGTTCCAAAAAGAAGCATGATACAGGAAATATTCAGTGCATCTTTTTTATCAAGATCTTCATTGGCATTCAAGTCAACAATCATCACATATTATATCAATATGTCACAGAAAGACATCCACAAGCAAAATATTGGGCTTCCTGACAGGAAGCATTCTCTCCATGCGGTTGTCGCAAAACAACATTATATTTACAGTAAATGTTGGATGGTATGAGTCGAGTGGATACCTATATCCTGCAGGTTGCTGCTTCTACTGCCAACACTGTTCCCTTGCTCCCTTACTTGCTGCTCTTTATTTATTTCCTTATTGCTGCATGGAGTCTAACCCCTCCTATTTCCATTTCCCCCAAACTAGATCATTGCACTTGTTGCTTCCCCTCCTGGGACGTTCCCCTTCCTTTTCTTCACAGTATATATTTCCCCCTCACTGTGCATAGTGCTCTGTCACGTAGAGGCACAAGCCTTCACAGTTTTCCTGGAGTCTAATGAAAGTGATTGTGCTGGACCGCAGAGATCAGTTCAAACACAGAATACGTACCTATTTACATGACACTTTAAGTGGTTACAGTATTGTAATTACTGCACACGGATTCTAACAGTAATTGTAGCATTTGTCGCAGCCAGTTGACTGGACGCACTATGAGCACTGGCAGTACTGACTAAGTTGAGGTGATGGAATTGACAACATCGTTCACAACTCTTGTCAAATTGCTTTCTCGTTGGCGGTGGACTCAGCCCTCGTAGCCCTGATTGCAGGGAATCGTAGCATACAGGTAAGACACAGAAAGTCATACCTGTGCAGTGTAGAGATTTATGATCGTGGCTGAAGAACTCTTAGCAGCCATAAAAAGTGTTAAGCCCTATATAGGTGGTAGATTCAGAATCTAACCATCCCCCAATCTCCCGTGCTGATCTTCGAGAATTCTCATACAGCAAAGTGGGCAAAGGGGTGTAGAGAGGTTAACAGGGATCCCTCAGCCTTTAAAACAGACTGGAAGGGAAGGGATGTGTCCCTAAGAGTCCGATTCAGCCAAAGACTAAACAAAGGTTGAGGCAGTAGGTGAAAACAGAAAGAGATAGTAGCAAAAGTAAGGAGGGTGATGAAAATCTGGGTGAGGAGGAAGATGGTGTCAGTTCGAAATCAGGTGGACATTCGAGCTCGATGCACCGCAGGGTGACACCAGAGTCCTCGTTGCCGTAGTTTTCCCAGTACTCTTCTGGTTCAAGCTTGGGCAACGCCAGCTCCTCTTCTCCCAGCTCATATTTGACTACTGAAGTGGTTGATGAGGGGCCTTTCCCATGCAGACCAGCTTTGATGGTCTCCGAGGCCTTCTCAAAGATGCCTTTTGTAGAGGACTGGGGCTTGTTCTTGTGAAACCACCAGCGGGTTTTGGTGCTGAAAGTTGTGGTGGTGGAGCCGGCGATGGAGCCTGGGTCAGGCAGGGGGCAGAGGGCGAAGTCCATCTCGCGAAGGAAGCGAAGGTCCTGACCACGACGGGTTGAAGGGGAGGCGCAGATCACCTCGGAGGAGGAGACGCGGGCCTCACGGAACCATTCCCACAGGGCACGGGCCTCACAGCCGCAGGACCAGGGGTTGGCATTGAGGCGGAGGAACTCGATGCCCTGTGTGTCCCTCAGGGTCTGGCTGGGCAGCTCAGCCAGGGAATTGTTGAAGAGGAAGAGCATGGTCAGGCGGCCGAGGTCTCGGAAAGCGCGTCGGTTCACCTGCCTGACGCGGTTGTCGTGGAGGAGTAGCCGGTCGAGGTTCACCAAACCACGAAACACGTTCTCTGACAGGGTTCGGATGCGGTTGCCATGCAAGAACAGCTGGCTTAGGTTGATGAGGTCAGAAAAGATGTCGTCTTGCAGGAAGTGGAGGTTATTTTCCTGAAAAAGGAAAAAAAATCATGTTTTGTTTGTTTTTTTTATCATAAAAGTAACTATACTGCTTTGGATTTGTAATATCAGTAACTGAGCGTGATGCTGTGAGTGAAGGAACAAATGTGGGTGGCTCTGAGTCTGTGTCAGAGTTATCCGACTCTACCGCCCCCTACCTGCAGGTAGAGGAACTGCAGGCTGTACAGCTTGTGGAAGATGTCATGAGGCAGGGCAGTGAGCCGGCAGCGGTGCATGTGGAGGCTCTGGAGCTTCTCAAGCCCACGGAAAGCTCCCCCTTCCAGCCTGTGAAGGTTGGGGTTGTCCCCCAGGTCCAACTCCTCCAAGTCCCTCAGCTCACTGAAAGCACCTGCCTCAATCCAAGTGATGTTGTTGGAGAAAAGCCACAGAACCTGCAGGAGAACGTATCCGGAAATTTTAAATTCAGCACTATTTAATTTGGAACTAACAGATAAATTATTTTTTTTAAACCCTTACCTGAGTTCCGAAGCCAAAAGAGCCAACTCTGAGCTCCATGATCCGGTTGTTCTGAAGGAAAACGCGCTGAGACTCATACGGCACTCCGACAGGGACGGCGGTGAAGTTCTGCGCCTGGCAGCTCACAGTCATGGGCGTCGGGTAGCACACGCAGTGGTGTGGACACGCCGATGCCGGACTTGGCTTGCCGAGGACCAGCCAGACCACCAGCCAGAGGGAGAGACCGCCTGGAGGAGAGGAGACAAAGGAAGGAGACGGAAGGAGGTGAGAGAGCTGGCCGTGGTGCTGAACGCCTTCAGCATGGAGAGTCCAAACTCCCAGACATCTGTGCGCTCGCTCATTTTATACAGTTTCTCTAATTTAATTGTGTATATATGTGTATTTAATTCATCCTTGACGCACAGATATTTAAGTTGTAGACACAAATCTTAAAAGCAGTGAAGCATTAAAGCTTTATCTATCTTATATGACTGAACTTTATGCCTCAGCGGTGCGTCTATACGCACAGCATAACCACAAACAACTGTGCAGTAAAATCTTAAGCTTCACCAAAATCACTTATTGCATTCCATTTAACATGCACGTGCCATTTATCAATTATCATCCATAACATATTCAAGTTTCTATTAAGTTTTCTTCACTATCTTCCATCTAATTATAAACGCAGCTTGCAATTTTTTTATCAAAGTTCTCCCAATGAGAAAAAAAAAAGTAACAAATGTTGCACCATTTCTACCACGAAACAGAAGCAGCTCTTAGTAAATCCGTGATTAAAGTATCCAAATCCGAAGAGGACGGAGAAGAAACTTACTTTTGCAGAAGCGCATGATGGAGCTTCGTCGGCTCCGAGAAAGAGAAGGGTTGTCCATCCTGAACCAAAGCCCAAAGCGAGTTAGCCTAAGAGGGCGAAGTAAAGCCTGCTATCTCCGCTGATGCCCTGGTTCCCGAGTCGGAGCGACTGAGAGTGTGCCGGCTGATGGCTACCTGTGCCCCTTTTATACTCCAGCATGTCGTCGTTGCCTACGGCAGTGGGCACCACGGAATCTCCTACGTCACCGGCCGGGGTCATGAATGAATGAGGGCGGCAAAGAAACGGAAAGGGGAGGGGCCGACCGCAGGGGGATTCTCTTGGAGAGCTTCTACGCGCGTAAAGCTGGTTGGAGACGTGCGCTCAGACTCTGAGAGGAGGAGACTTCTTCTCGACGCACATTGGATCTGGGGGTGGGGGGTGGGGGGAGCCGAGGCACGGTGCCCGGTAATGATGACTGGGCTCTGTGGAGGAGCGGAGGACGGGTAGGAGAGGCTCGTTTCCTGGCTGGATTTCTCAGAGACTGTTATGGTTCGTTTCCGGCGCACAGGCCGACAGATACAGAAAAGAGTCTTGGATGGTTCTGTTAGGAAAGAAGGATGCCCCCGAAATCTGATTCAGCCACAAAGAAAAGAAAAATCATCTCCAGGATCGAGTCACTCAAAACAACTGTGGAAGTCGTTTTTTTTTTTTTGTTTGTTTGTTTATTTGTTTTTTTTGACATGCGCAGTTATGATGTTTGTATTTTAATTATAGCCACTGACATAATTAATGATGATGAAGATATGCAATGACAAATAACTCGACAAGGAAGGAATGGACTCTTAAGGGTTGTTTTAATTATGCAAGGGCAAACTGAGATGTTCACAGGCGCAGGGAAAATTGTTTGCACCTCTTTGTCAAAAGAAAAACCCTGAAAGGTCAATAAAAATATTTTAAAACAGATAACTTTAAGAATGAAAATTAGGCACTGATTTGGATTCTTGGTTCAACAAATATTTATAAAATTAAATAATGGCCTTGAGAAAAAGAATGGCCTCAACTGAATATTGTGTTGCACAACTTTTTCACTACAATCCAGTGATTTCTGTGACACTTCTTCACCGGTTGGTCCACTCGTTGAGAGCAAACCCTTCCAGATGTCTCAGGTTTTAAGGGTTCCTTCTCCAGATTGCAGCTCATTCCTCAGATGCTCAACAAGACTTAGATCAGGGCTCAGAAAGCCACTTCAGATACACCAATGTTTAGTTCATCCTGTTCAAGGACACATGACATGCAGCTGAAGCTTTCAGTCACTGAGCTACACATTTAGCTCCAGAATGCCTTGATAGTCTTGAGCTTTTATGCTGAAACATATACAGTCTGGAGAGGAACCCTCACACCTGAGACAGCTGGTGCAGAAGTGTCCGTTACAGAGATCACTTGAAAAAGAAAAGATTCACAACAAAAAAATAGCTCAACAAACTATTCAGTTAAGGCTATCGTTGCCTGCTTTCTTAGTTTATTATTATTATTAGTATTATTATTATTATTATTATTCATTCAACCTTTATTTAGACAGGTTAATTCCATTGAGCCTCAAGGACTCATTTACAAGAGAGACCTGATTTCAACAAAGAACGATGACAACAATGGACAACAGCGACATTTTTTAATTATTATTATTTTTATTATTACTATTATATATTATTTATTATTCTTATTCTTATTCTGTTTAACCAAAATTCTAAATAAATAACTCTTTTTTATTATTGATTTTGTTGCTTTTATTACTTTTGTCAGCTTCAAATTTCAGTCACCGTTAATGATTTTTTGACCTTTTTGTAAAAAAAAGTGTGTAAACAAATTTAACCTTGTCTGTGAACTGAACTCATAGTTTTCATCACACTCTTTTTTTTTTTTTTTGATGTTGTTAAATGGATACAAATTGACAAGTAGTGCAAAGAGCAAGAAGACAAAACACAGCAGATGCCCGAGCATGAGCGCCACTTGAAGTCTGTTGAGCTGCGTGTCTGCACGTCAAGCTGTCTCTGTGTCTGAACAGTAACACGGCATCACAAACGGCTATAGCGTCAGAAAAACTAATTAAATCACTTTTTAAAGTGTCAGAATCACGAAGAGAAAGAAAAGAGGTGTTGTGGTTGTGATGCAAAACCTGATAATAAATTCCATCTTGTAAACTTGATATTAAACCTGCCCAAAACTGAAACTTGTGTAAAAAATAAACTGGGACAACATGGCTGCAGAGAGCCTGATGGAAAATAGTAGAAAATCAAGCTTTTGAAGACGTTCTACATTTTAGAATGGACTTGTTTTATTTATTTATATGCAGCTATGTTCAAAAGTGAAGCCAAACCTTTGTCAAAATTATTTTTATTTATGAAACGTTTAAAAAGAACTGACCAAGACACTTTCCTACATTGCCAGAAAACATGGTGAGAAAATAATACAGTATGTCCCATAATCCAGATCAAAACATAAAAAGGATTTTCTTTAAATCCATGCACCAGTCAGACTACGGTGACAAATTCTTGCCTAAGACTAATCTTTTTATTTTGGCTTTTGATTTAAAGCTGCTTCAAGGTCAAGTCAACTTTATTGTCGTTTCCGTCACATGTGGTACATGAGGTGGAAGGAAAATATGTACACAGCGTCCCAGTTTCACCCCAAAATGGCAAAATATAAAGTATAAAAAGAAACAGTAAATAAGGATCTAAGATATACGCTAAACACTAATGATGTAAAACAATACGGCGTAGCAACAGCAGCCCGAACATGAGTCTGTGGAGAGCAGATGGGGGTGAATGAATACAGAAGCATAAGATAATCAGCAGCATGAGATCAGCAGTAGGAACCGCATGGACATACTTCTTGCCAACTATGAAATATTTCATGAAATACAAACAAATACATTTTATAGTTTACATTTGTTTACCAGTTTTGATTTAAAGATACATTAACCATTCATATGAGGGAAAATTTTCCAGAGTTACTTTTTTTTACTTTACAACCTGTTTTTATTTTAATTTCTGCATGTCTACAAGACACACACACACACACACACACACACAT